CCCCCCCCAAAGGGAGCCAAAATGTAGCCAAAACCGTTTGTAACATCAATGATTTTGGTTTCTTCGCCGAAAGCCGTTTTGGGCGCTCTGACACCTCGCGAAACCCCCGCTCCAGGCCCAGGGGGAGGAGGTAGGGGGAGGGGTGAACCCCTCCACGAAGGGGAAGAAGGGGGATTGCAAGAAGAATTTCGCTAAGCCACTCACGCTCCAAAAGGCTGGTGGGATTTAAGGGGCGCAGGGTACGTGCCCTGCCAGCCGCGTCACGGAGAACTCGGCCGCGTCTGCAGTGCGGGATCGTTTCTGGCAACCGCCACTCTGCCACCTTGTCTCTGATGCCGAATCGTCCAGTGCTGGTACCGCCGTTCGAGATTCCTCCGTCGCTGCTGCCGGCAACTCCAGCCAGCACGGAGGCCGAGCGGGGCAGGAGGCCGCCAGGTCTCTCCAGGCCGTGGTCGCTGGCAATTCCTCTCTTCCCTCGCAGCCCATTTGAGAAATGCCACCCGCCACTCTGCCACTTGGCGTCGCTCGGACGTGCGCATCCTTTCTCGACAAGGGCCCTCGAGGAACATCTTCGATCCTCCGGCCGAAAGTGCACGCACGAAATCGCAAAACGAGCGGGGAGTGGGCGTCCGAGCGATGGCGAGGCCGCCGTCGTATCTCTTCTGCCGCCGCCGCCCCCCCCTCCCCCCCCCCCCGCCTTGCCCAGTGCCCGCCGCAGCAGCGGCAGGCCCCCCTCGGCCGAGAGGCCGGCGAGGAAGAGGAGGTCGAGGTCCCGCAGGTGGGCCGAGGGGGGGGGTCGGCGGGCGGTGGAGGGGAGGAGGAGGCGGAGGAGGAGGAGGCGGAGGAGGAGGAGGAGCAGGAGGAGGAGGAGCAGGAGGAGGAGGAGGGAGGAGGAGGAGGAGGAGGGAGGAGGAGGAGCAGGAGGAGGACTTGGTATCGCTCGGACGTGTGCGCTTTTTCCCGGCGGGGATGATTCAGGAGCATCCGGGATCCTCCTGCGGCAAAAACCACGCGCGGGACCAAAAAATAAAGATATACAGGGAATGGACGTCCGAGCGATGGCCAGAGGAGGAAGAGGAGGGGCAGGGGGGCGGGCGCGGGGTAGTGAGCAGGCAGGCGCGCCCACCTGCGCACGAGGTTGCCTCCCGCGCACGGAAGGCCTGTGCCTTCTCCCCCATCCACCCTCCCCCGCCAACAGGTACGTGATCTCGATGTGCCTTCTCCCCCATCCACCCGGAAGGCCTGTGGGGGGAGAGGGAGAGGAAGAAGAAGGAGGTGCAGAGGGAGAAGGATGACAGCGACAGCGTGGAAGTGAGGTAGGACGCGCGCGTCAAGTTTGGGGGGGTCCCGTTCGAGACTTCCTCCCAATTCACTCACAGACGAGGCCCCTTGGGGTGCTCACAGGCAATGCCTGCTACGGTACGCCGATGACCCGCCTCGGATTATTCGAACTTCACGCGGGGGGGCCCTGAGGGAGGGGGCTCCCGCCCGAGATTTTCTCTTGCGAACCCACTCACAAACGAAGCTCCTTGGGATGCTCAAGTGCGATACCTTCTATTGTACGCCGATGATCCGCATCGAATTCGAACATGAAGTGCGGGGCCCTTTGGGAAAGGGCTCCAGCTCGAGATTTGCCAACAATTCACTCACAGCACAGACGAGACTCCTCGGGCGGTCAGGTGCTATGCCTGCTATGGCACTCCGATGACCCGCCGCAGATTCGAACATGAAGCGCGGGGCCCTCAAGGAGGGGGTTCCCGCTCGGGACGTCCTCACAATTCACTCACGGACGAGGCCCCTTGGGGTGCTCAAGTGCTATGCCTTCTATTGTGTTCCGATGGCCCGCCTCGGATTCGAACATGAAGTGCGGGGCCCTTAGAGAAGGGGGCTCCCGCTCGAGACCTCCTCCCAATTCACTTACAGGCGAGGGCCATTGGGTGCTCATGTGCTATGGCTTCCATGGCACGCCGATGACCCGCATCGGATTCGAACATGAAGTGCGGGGCCCTGAAAGCGGGAGCTCCCGTTTGAGACTTCTTTACAAACCCACTCACAAACTAAGCTCAAGTGATATGCCTGCTATGTTACGCCGATGGCCCGCCTCGGATTCGAACATGAAGCGGGGGGGGCCTGAGGGGGGTGGTTCCCGCTTGAGACTTCCGCACAATTCACTCACAGACGAGGCTCCTTCGGGTGTTCGAGTGCTGTGCCTACTATGGTACGCCGATGACACGCCGCGGATTCGAACATGAGGTGCGGGGCCCTCAAAGAGGGGGTTCCCGCTCGAGACGTCTTCACAATTCACTCACAGACGAGGCCTTTGGGGGCGCTATGCCTTCTATTGTGTTCCGATGGCCCGCCTCTGATTCGAACATGAAGTGCGGGGCCCTTAGAGAGGGGGCTCCCGCTCGAGACCCCTCTCACAATTCACTCACGGGCTAGGGTCCCTGGGAGCTCAAGTGAGATGGCTTCTATAGGACGCCGATGACCTTCATCTGATTCGAACATGAAGTGCGGGGCCCTGGGGGCGGGGGCTCCCGCCCGAGACCTCCTCTAAAACCTACTCACAAACGAAGCTCTTTGGGGTGCTCAAGTGGTATACCCGCTATGCTACGCCGATGACCCACCTCGGATTCGAACATGTAGGGACGGGGTTCCCGCTTGAGACTTCTGCACACTTCACTCACAGACGAGGCTCCTTGGGGTGCTCGAGTGCTATGCCTGCTATGGTACGCCGATGACCCGCCTCGGATTCGAACATGAAGTGCGGGGCGGGGTTCTCGTTCTAGACTCCTTCACAATTCATGTCAACCGATGGTCGATGATCATGATGGCTCGGTGATGGTGATGATGATGACGATTGTGGCGGTGATAGTGATGTGGGTAAATGAGTGATCCGTACTAGCTTGATGAGTATTATGATGATGGTGGTGATGGAGACGATGGTGGTGATCATGGCATGATGCTGAGTGGGTGAGTGATGAGTGACATGTGAGTGATTGAGTGAGTGTGGAGATGCTGATGATGAGGGTGTTGATGATGATGGTGATGGTGATGATGATGATAACGATGTTGATAATGCTGATGATGATGAGTCTGCGAGTGTGTGAGTCCATGAGTGCGTGCGTGTAGAGGAGGGGTGAGGGGGAGAAAGAAAGAGGAGGAGGAGGAGGAGGAGATCCTGCGCGGGGGCGTGCAGAGACAACAATAATCCCAGTGTGGATGCTGGGAAAAATCCCCCTCCTGTATTTAACGAATGCGTGCGGCACTGAGGCGCAAGCCCCATTTTGAAAAAGATGTAATATATCCTTAAGCCTGCTGCAAGCGTTTCAAACGAATGTGCGCGGTGTTGAGGCGAGAGCCCAGTTTGTTAAAAGAGCCGCTCTCCATCTTTGAAACTACTGCAAGCATTTAAACGAATGCGCGCGGCGCTGAGGCAAGCGACCCAGTTCGAAAAACAGTTGTCCTCCGTCTTTGAAGCTGCTGCCTTCCCGCGAAACGCCCGGCCCGCCTTACCGACACGCCTAGGGCGCGCGATGGGGAAAACATATTTGTCGGGGAAAGGAATTAGGGGGGAGGGGGAAAGAGAAAGGGAGGTCCGCTGGCCTCGGCACTGCAGCAGTCTGCGCGCCGTCTTGCTGAAGGCCCTCACGGCCGGGCGCTGGTTTCGACCGCCGCGCGACACCTCTGTGCGCGGGCCCGCGGCCGCCGCCGGAGGCCGGGAGAGCGCCCCGCCCCTCTGGTGCTCGGGAAGGGCATCGTCTGTTCTCGTTCGGCGACAGAGGCAGCCCGCATGGTAAGGAGGAGCGGCGTTCCAGGGTCACCCTTTGGATCCTTCCCCCCTCGGCCCCTCCTCGGCCCCTCTCGCTGGCCGCGCCCCGCCCGCAGAGCGGCGGCACGGCCTTCCGAGGCCCTCGCGTCCTTCTCGTGCGTAGCGGGGTGACTGTACCCTGGGTCTGAGAGCGTTTGGTACGTCGTCTCGCGACAGCGGCCGCCACCGGCCCTGGCCGCCCCCCCCCCCCCCCCCCCCGAAGCAGCGGGAGCGAAGCTTTCCCCAGCGAGGGGAGGCCCGGGCCTGAGCCCCAGGCGGCCCAACGCGCAGAGACGAGGTGGCGGCGGACGGCACGACCGCCAGACACGGCAGTGCGGGAAGCAAGGGAGGGAGGGAGGAGGAGCGGAGGGGAAGGGAGGGAGCAGGGAGGGAGGGAGGAGGGGAAGGAGGGAGAAGCAGGAAGGGAGGGAGAAGGAGGGGAGGGGCGAGGAGGGAGGGAGGGCGAGAGGAGGGGAGAGAGAGAGGGAGGAGAAGGAGGACGGGAGGGAGGCGAGGGAGAGCGGGAGGGAGGAGGCGGAGGGAGGTAGGGAGGGAGGGGGGAAGGAAGGAAGGAAGGAAGGAAGGAAGGAAGGAAGGAAGGAAGGAAGGAAGGAAGGGATGGAGGAGGGAGGGAGGGAGGAAGCAACGAGGGGCATCGCGTCCCATCCTCTCCCCGCCCGCGCCCTCCCCACCCACCCCTCCCGCGCCCAGGCGGAGCCCCAGCCGACGCGCCCGCGCCAGGCGCAGCCGCAGCCGCCGCGGCCGCGGACGCAGCGGCCCCAGGGCCGCGCGCGGGGGCGGCGCCTCTGGCAGCGCCTCGGAGGGCCGCCGCAGCCGCGCGAGCAGCAGGCGCATGGATCGGGAGGACAAGTGCAGTGGGGTGGGGGGCTCCTCCGAAGGGCTCAGGCGACCCGTCCTCCTCCTCGTCGCCTCCCTCCTCCTCCTCCTCCTCCTCCTCCTCCTCCTCCTCCTCCTCCTCCTCCTCCTCCTCCTCCTCCTCCTCCTCCTCCCCCGCCTCCTCTCCGTAGCCATTTTGGCTCAAGATGCCCGCACTTGGGGGTTCCGCGCCTCCGTGCCAAAATCTGAGCTGCCAGAGCAGCACTGAGTTCTCGGAGATTTCGGGAGATTCGCACCGCCCATCTGCCAGCGCAGTTGGGGTTTGAGCTCCCTCTCGATCTGTCAATCAGTCATGGCGCCGCGCCCATTCTCATGGTGTGCCTGCGGCAACTGGACGTACAACTTCCGCCTGCTGCACAACGGCGGATTCTGTGGCAAGTGCGGGGAGCAGGTCACACTCTTCAAGCCTGACGCTGCAGCGGCGAAAGGCAACGGCAAAGGTAAGAAAGGCATCCACAGTTACAAAGGCGGCAAGGGCGAGGACAAGTCGGCGTGGCACTTCGGCAGTGGCAAAGGCACGCACCCGTGGTCCAAGGAGCCTGACATCTCGCAGATGCTCAGCATCCTATCGAATGTCCCCGCCCTCGCTGAGCACGCCGACGTCTTCCGCCAGGCGGACAGCTCCTTCAAGGCGAGCAAGGCAAAGCCGGTATCGCCCAACCAGGAGGTCTACCGCTGCAGCCAGACCCTGGAGAAGAAGGAGATGGCTCTTCAGAAGGCCTCGGCAGACGTCATCAAGCTGGAGACGGCACTCCAGGAGGCCAAGCTGTGGCTCCGCCAGACGGCGGAGGAGGCCCTCTCCGCGAAGCGGGCCCACACGCTGGCGGTCAAGGCCCTCGCCGACTCCACGGGCGCCGCCAAGACGCAGGACGGCTACACCGCGGACGGCAAGAAGATCTACCTCGCGATGGATGAGTTCGACTTCGCTACCAGCGATGAGTTCGACGACGCGCAGAAGGCCCAGCTCAAGGCCATCCAGAAGCAGGTGGAGGAGCACTGCAAGAAGGTGGAGGACCTCCAGAAGACCATGCAGGAGGCGCTCAAGAGCGTCAAGGAGATCCGAGCTGCCCCTGCGAAGCGGCAACGTGGTCAGGACGGTCCCGTCCCTGGTCCTGGCGCAGCAGAAGCTGAAGGCCCCGACGAAGACCAGGCACATGCTGCGGAGGACGGCCCCACCATCGCAGTCTCAGAGAGCGACATCGCCGCCAAGATCGCGAGCGCCAGGGAGGCCACGCTGGCCAGCATGGGCGACTTCCCTCCCCTGGGCACTGGCAATGGTGCTAGGAGCTCTCGCGATGGCGCGCCCAGAGCTGCAGCTGCGGCCGCGCAGCGAGGGTGACCTACCCATCGGCCTGGGAGGAGGAGGCCACCCGAGGCCAGGTGACACCCTTCAGCCGCCCCTCCCACCACAAGGCCTCTCCTGCAGTCGGGCCCCCGTTCCAGAGAATTACGATGCGACGTACTTCTTCTCGAACATCTCGGAGTGGGGCCCGCGGGCGGAGGGGTTCATGAAAGCCCAGGCGGAGCAGTACGACGTCATAGGATTCGCGGAGATGCACATGCGAGGCGTGAAGGTCCTAGACTTCACAGAGAAGATCAGCAAAGACGGATGGAAGGCCGCCGTCACCGCCGCAGCACCGTCGGGCAGGGCAGCTGAAGGTACGACGGGCGGCGAAGCCATCATATCCAAGCGTTCACTGGCCACCACGACGTTCGAGGGGTGGCGCAAACACGAGATCGAACGGTCTGCAGTCGACCCCTTTCAAGGATTTTGCCATACGACATGGCACACGAAGGCTGGCAACATCGTCGTCATCTCCGCGTACATGCAGCCGAAGCACGGCTTCAAGGGCCCCAACGAGAAGATGATGATCAGGCTAGCCAGCTTCATCAATATGATATCCGACCCGTGGGTTGTCCTCGCCGACTGGAACAACCCACCAGAGGCATGGGAAGGAACCAAGTGGCTCCGCAAGATCGGCGGTCACCTTATCCTCCCTGAGAACACGAAGACCACCTGCAACTTGGGGCGCGGGTCCCTCATTGACTACGGGATCTGCAAGAGCGGGTTCGGCGGCCCCCTCAAGCTCGAAGCAGCCCCTGAGGTCCCTTGGAAGACCCACGTGGGACTACTGCTTTCCACACGAGCGGGGAAGCAGCACTGGTGGCACAGAGCTATGTGTATACCCAAGCAGCCCCCGTCGGCGGGACGACCAGCCAAGGAAGCGGACCCGAACAGCAAGCGCCAGAAGTTGCTAGCCGAGCGGCACCAGCGGGCAAAGGCCAGACTCCAGGAGGAGCTACAGGACGCATACGAGGAGCTCCACAGCTGGCCAACCACGCAGGACACACACAGCAACGACTCGATCACCTTCGATATACCGATTGAGGTGCGGCACTCGGCAGCAGCTACGGTGGCAGGACTGGCAGAGGACAAGGGCAAACACGTGAGGATGGAGTCGAACGACGGCCAGGACAACTACCCCTCCTCCCACTTCCTGCTGACCCGTGACATTGAGGCGCAGAAGAAGGTTGCCAAGGCGTTCGGCGACTGGGTGCAGACAGTGGAGAAGGCCACGCTCAAGCACCACAACATTCCCGAGTCCGATTGGAAAAAGTATGAAGGCAGGGCCAGAGAGCATGGGATCACTTGGCGAAGAACCCGTGCTACACCAGCCCGTACACACATGCGGGACCCAATCGTGGAATGGTGGCATCTGGCAACGACGATTATTCCCAGATATCAGCGAATGAGGCGCAAGTTCGCAGAGCAGGACTACAAGCGCATGGCAATAAAAATGCAGGAGCTGCTACACATTGCCACCGAGAACAACTTCTTTGACAAGTACAACGACCCAGAGGACAAGAGGACCCTGGAGGAGTGGACTAAGGCCATCACCGACTTAGACGGGCAGAACATCGACTCGCTGCAGGCCCTACTGGAGTTCGGCCTGAGGTTTCAAGCCCGCGCGGTGGGTACTGGACTCGCCAACGGCAGGCGGGCGTTTGCAAGCTGGGTCACACGCATGTGGAAGCAGGCTCCAGGTGCGTTACACCGACATGTGAAGCCAGCTACTACTCGACGAGACGAGCACTTCAGTGACGAGGGCAACACCTATGCCACACCCTGCGAGATCATGGACCGCAGAGCTGACTTCTGGGAGAACATCTGGTCCGACCCCAGCTCCGACCACAAGAGTATCCTCGACGGCCTCAAGTTTGTCACGGAGCAAGCCAAGAGGGAGGACGTGCACCCGATCGAGCTGGAGCACCTGGACCACCTGCTGGCGAAGCAGAACCCGAAGAAGGCCAGAGGAGTCGACAACCTCGGCCCGCTGGAGGTGCAACGACTCCCAGAGCCAGGACGGAGGCAGATGGTGGAGCTCCTCAATCTCTGCGAGAACCACCTCATGTGGCCTCATCAGATTTTCACGGTCATAGGT